TCAAGCAAAGATTCTATGAATGAGCACTAGTACACCCTGGTATATCAGAAATGTAAAAAAATACATTTCAATTTGAGAGTGCCGATGGTTTAAGTCGAGTTCAACTGAATAAGGCAGAAACATATTTCAAATCTTAAAAACCATGTGAATCCGCTGGCTAGACCTTTTGCTAATTCAACATTTTCTTCTAGACTAAAACTTAATGATAGACCCGCCTTCCTGCTCTCCGAAAGATCACCCTGATTAATTTAACTTCAACGCCGTGGTATCTGGCAAATAAAACCTGGCTACTTATTCAGAGGTCTCTTGAAATAATTTAGAAATCATTATATGCTTCATTATACCATGTTTTTATAAAACAATTTTTAATGTGACGTTATTAGTCTTTAAGTTTCTAAAACTTATTGTTAGGCTTTAATTTAAAGCGATTCAGTAACGACATATTGCTAAATAAAAAAAAAATAATTAAGTTGTTATACATAAACTAAAATTATAATTACATTATTAAAAATAAATGACAATAATTTTTTATATAATGAATTTCATTAACACTTTATAATCTTTCCATATTGAAGTATTACAATGCTTGATTCAAAATCTTAAACATAATGTTTGGAAAAATTGTAAAAGTTTTAAAGTCAAAAGTTCATTTAAATAAAATATAAAAATATTTAATGTATCTCTTAAAATTTTTATATTGAAACATTTTTTTGTTTTTAATTTTTATATTTATTTTATTTTCTCTGAAAGTTAAATTGTTTTATGTCCATTCCTGTCAATAAAGTCAGCAAAATGTATTAAAGGTACTTTCCCTGATCCAAATATCCTGCCATAGAACATAACAAAGCTTGTCCTGCAAGTGATGTTGAAATAACCGCATACTTTAATGTGCTCAGCAATTTCTGTGAATAGCAACTCATTACAGTATCCTCAGAATATCCTGAAAGCATCGACAACATAATCATTAAAGTAATGTAATGATTTTGTGCTTCAGATTACATATTAACATGATTATATGTTAAGGCTGTAAGGAAGGATTAAACTAAACTAAATGCGAGATGGAATATTTAAACTGAGTCGTGGAAGGGAAGTACTCGGATTTGATAGTTTTTCATATTATAAAACTAATATTTCAAAGAAATACAAGCATATTTTATTTTGATACGAACCCTTTTTTATACACAAAATATCAAATTCAAAGGCGCAAATTATTAAATTAATTTCTGAATAGAAGGTCAAGTCAATTAATTTTAATTAAAATGGTTATGTAGTATGTTGCTAAGATTTTGGAGAAATTATTCCTTTTAAACTCTCGTAGTTTAACAGATTTTCTATTTACATTTTCAGCAAATTTGGCCCTTGAAATTTTTTACTTTTAAGGTTGAAATGAGAATATACTTCATGAGCCGATTGGAAGCTGTTGCATATGCTATACTATAACATACATCTGTATACATCTCTGTTGAAATTAGTATAAAAATGTTAAATGTTATCTTTTGTTGATTTGTTGATTTGCTGAATTGCTTTATTATAGTAGTTTTTGTATTTTAATAGCCGAGGCATTCTTTTGATGCATTCAAAATTGATTTGAGTATTGAAAAAATTATAGAATTTATGTTATATTTTTCCTCAACTTACAATGTATATTTAATGTCAAAAACATTCTTTTGAAGCAATTCAACACAACAACAATAAAAATATCTGAATAAGTATGTTTTTCATGCTTAGAAATATTTTCAAAAGCATTTAAGCAATTTTTCTTCTTGCGAACAAAGCCGACATTTTTAAAAAGGACTGAGAAGAGGACGTCAACAAAGGAAAAACAACAAATACAATTTTGAGCCTTTAATATGAACGAAGATCCTTATTGAATTTGTACTGGAAAGCTTCTTTTATTATCAATATCTACGTCAAATTTATTGAAGATAAATGAAGTTGAAAATTCTGGAAGATTTAAGAACAATGAATATTCAATTTCATAAAAAAATATTTACTTTAAATAAATTAAATTTCAAATTTTTATCCTTAAAAATATTCAAGAAAATAAAAAAATTTAACAAAATATATCTTTAAATTCATAAAATTTTCTAATTTTCCTAGAGATGTGAATTTTAAAATTTATTTTTGTTTAAAATAAAATTGCATTATCCTTTTGGGTGGAAGGACGCAAGTATTTACCAATTTAAGTTTTTCCTTTGGTCAAATGCGCAAAATTTCTATTTGTTCTAATTCATTCTGAGATTCGTTCAGGGCGGATACTTAACTTCACGAAATGTCAACATAAAGATTCTTTTTCTTTTATTCTCGTTTTGTGTGCCGGCGGTACTGAGTTGGCGGAGCAATGCTATTGCAAGTCACTTAAATTAAATATAATATTTTGTTGCCCCCAGTAAAAAGAATATCGCATTACCGACACTAAAAAGATTTTAAATTGCTGCTCAAATTAAATTATTGTTAGCAACTCAATTTGCGCTTCTTGCATTTACAGTCATTGATTTTCGACTGTTTACTGTCAAAACTCTATACAGGGTGCTTAATGAGTTGAAGCGGCACATAAATTACAATCAGTCATTTCGAAATTTTCTTATATGTAGGATTAAATTACATATGAAGTTAAGAAAAAACAAACAAAAATGAATGTAAGTATTACTTAAGCAATACCTAAGCTATCAAAATGAATAGATACATTATTATTAAAAATCTGTGATATTTACACACATATAATTATTTTTGTGTCTACTATGAGAGTATGTGTCGCTTATTGCGATCCTGAGACTGTGTGCGTATTTAAAATTTAAACAAAATTTAAAGATGTTCTATGGACGTTAATACGGATTTATACAGTTTTTATGTGAATGTAAATAAAAAGAGTCACTCTAGAGAATTTAAAATAAGAATTACTCTTTTTTTTTGTTTTTGTTTTTTATTTTTTTGGGTGCGGAGGTGAAATGGTTTATGCATCGTCAAACCCACCGTCGTCGAGATGGTGTGTCCGACTTCCTAACATTAATATGTAGTATACGGACTAAAACAGTTCTCTTCGGTGAGACTTATTCTCCCTCGGAACCGCTTTCGAATTACTTCAAGTAGGGTCCTTTTTTTTGTTGGCATTTCAAGCCACGCTCTTGTGAATTACTCTTTTAAGAAATTATATTAAATATTTAAACTTTAGTATTATGAATCAAGAATCTATAGGATACTACCATTATTAATTAATAG